ACGCTGTCCATAAAATTGGTAAAGTGCTCTGATTGGTAGTTTCCAACTGGTGTATTTACTGCTACATAGTTGGATGTGGACCGAGCATCCTAATATTGATGCCAGCCCTAACTCACTGATGTTTTCGATTCCATATTTGAATAATTTCAAATGTGATCGTCACTTGTTTTGTGCTCCGGGAGGCACGTACAGTCGTCATCTGACAAGGCGCGTCAGTGACCTTCGTGTATAAATAATTAGTCTACGAAATTCGTGACATTAGAGGGCGCCATCCTCAAACGAATTGTAGTACTGTATAACCGTCCCGTGTTGGGGGGAAAGGGATTGTTAGTAATGGAGACTGAGAATCCCATTGCTAGCAATATACCCAACCGGGTCGACCTCCTCGCGGGTCTCCCTGGAAACTATCATGGTTAATTCCTGATGAATTCATCATGATGGGCTAACTGGCTTGTTTTCATTCTCATCTATCACCCTTCACTGGTGCTCCGCAAGCGTATACCGTTAGCGCAGACGGGGTTACCTTACCATTTTCACCCATAAAAAAACATGTCTGATTCCACAGCTTCGCCCTTGTAAATTATGATAAAAATCTTATAGTTATTTTGGAAATATATTTCATGTACAGAATTGACCTCTCTACAGATTTATTACAAGTATAGATAATAATAACAACTTAAACTTAACTTAAAACACTGCAATATGCTTGTAATAAGTAAATGTTTTTGTTTATCGCTTGACAAGTTAATTGGCAATTAAGTAATGCAAACACACACGAGTACAAACTTTGATAGGACTTTGATTTGACTTCGAGCGCCTTCTCGGCTTACGATATTTGAATGGTTTATTTTTAACTTGTTGACATTTCCGCATAGTGAATAAAATTGTCATCATCAGCCTTTAACTGTTCACTGTTGGGGGGGGGGGGGTTGTTAGTAATGCGAACTACCAGTCCCGTTGCTAGCAATACACTCCGTCAAGTCGACCTCCACGTGGTCCGCCCTGGAAATCATCATGCTGAATTCCACGTGTATTTATCACGATAGGCTAACTGACCTGCTCTTTCATTTCACTTATCATCCCTCACTGGTGTCCCGCCGGTGTATGCCGGCGGCGCGGGCGGGGTTGCCATTCCATTATCGTCCATTAAAAAAAAAATTCCTATTGCTGAATATAAACTTCCTCCTTGTGGGGTTTTGCCATTAGTTACCACGCTTGGCAGGCGGATTGGCAACCGTAGTAAGGCTTTGCAGATGTTTTAAGAGGGACGCTGCTGCCCATCCCTCGCCCTCTATTAGTCGATTCTTACGACACCCACAGGAAAGGAAAGGGTGGTCTATTCTATGCCGGGACCACACGGTCAAAATAATAAATAAATTTGTTTTAAAGCAATAAATTTGTTTTAAAGAAAAAAAGTATTATTTTTTTATCAAAAAGTAAAATAAAAACAAGAATAAAATTGAAAGAAAAGAAATAGTTGTTTATGAATTTTGCTTTTTTTTTCCTTTAATAATAAATATAGTAAATAATAGTTTTTGCTCAAGCATAAATACGGCGCAGACTTAAAGTAATTGCATACATTTACTAACTCGACCTTCGACCTTTATTAGGTCATCCGTACGTCTCTTGTGAGGAAGGTCCTCACGCTTAACGCTTTACTCTGTTCTTAACGTTAAATACTCATAGTTTATATAATTTATTTATTTATTTACACATACACATTACACATACATATATACATAGAGCATATGCCTTTTTAAAAGGCCGGCAGCACACCTGCAATGCCGTAGGTGTTGTGGGTGAGCATGGGCGGCGGTAGTCACTTACCATCAGGTGAGCCGCATGCTCGTTTGCCCCCTGTGTTGTAAAAAAAAATACACTAAAGAAACTTTTCATTTAAATAATCTCATTAATTAAATACAATCGCCCTTTAAGAAAAATAATATAAATTATACATATTACATATAAAAAAACAACATAATAATGAAGATTATACAATTATATAAAAACATTACTATTTTACATTTACATAAACTAGTTTAAGTCTAGATAATTCTACTAATCTCCTACTACTATTATAAATGTGAAAGTGTATGTGTGTGTCTGTGTATCCTTCCTTTCTTGTAAGTGTTGTAAGAGGCGACTAAGAGAACTTAAGTAGAAGAATAGGCAACAGCGTCCCTCTTAAAACATCCCTAACAGCTTTACCGTGATTTAAAACCTGCCTGCCAAGCGTGGCAATAGTAGTTGCAAAACTCCCCTTATAAGGATGGCTTTTGTTCGTCAGTGAACGGTTATCGGTTGAAATGAATGAATCAGGGATGTAGACAGCCATAAAAAATCCCATGGGAAACATAAGATAAGCATATCTCCTACATTTATATAATTTGCTATATTTAAAAAAAAATGTACCTATAAGCTTAATTAGTACTCATACATTTTCCTCCTATAAATTTGTCTATGCCCTTTGATCTTTATTATCTTAGAACAAACGTGATTGTGGGCAATTGGCTTATGTAAAGAGGTAATTAGATTATTTATATATAATATGTAACACTATATATGTATATATATATATATATATATATATATATATATATATATATATATATATATATATATATATATATATATATATATATTATTGCACTTGAACAAAAGATACAGCGTTTAGTTTAACAACTTGTTAGCAAGTATGACATTTGTATAATAATACTAGCTAACTCAGCAAACGTTGTTTTACCACATACATTATTTCGAGAACTATACATGAAAATTTATCGTACTACAATTATTATATTCGATTGCCATCTTGCAATCCTATTGCGGCATATAAAAATCGCGATTAAAAAACAGTTGATCGTAAAAGCGTGAAAATTGGAATTTGTATGTATTTTTCAATGCTAAATCATAATAAAATAAAAATAAAAAAAAATTACAAAAAATAAAAATATTTAAGAGTAGCTCGCCCTTATCATTGAGGGGTATGAAAAATAGATTTTGACCGATTCTCAGACCTACTTGATATTCACACAAAATTTCATAAAAATCGGTAAAGCCGTTTCGGAGGAGTTTGGTAACAAAAACCGCGACACAAGAATTTTATATATTAGATAAGGGGGATAGTATTTGGGATGGAGAAATCATAAAATCGCGCGTAGGATCTAGTTCTATATAAATTATCCCTAGTAAAATGTACCCCTAAAATTTAAAATCGATTCATAGATTGTAACTTTTTATTTTTTTCTATTTTTTATTGGAGCTGTATAAAACTGCTCCACTTTGCACAGTATGCATTCTTGTTTGCTTTATTTTTGTAAATTTCCGTCTGTGATTTTGTTTAGAATATATATATTCTAAACTGAAACTTATAATCATCGTGTGTATTATGTTTCAATTAATTTTTTCAATTTATTGCTATAAAAAATATATTTTTTTTATACAACTTAGAATGGCAAACAAGCTGACGGCCCACCTGATGGAAAGTGGTAACCGTCGCCTATAGACATGAGCAGTACCATGGACATAACAGAGTATACTGTTTTGCCCATGATACCCCCCATGCGTTGCCATTCCTGAGGACTCAGGTGTTATTCCTCTGTACTCTGTAAATTCACGCTATATCCCACCCTTCAAACCGAAACACAGCCATGCAAACACAACGGCTTCACGGTTGAAACACTAATGGGACAGAGGTACCCAAGCAAACGACTTTTGTACAAAGTCTCCCTCTGGTAAATAAACTTTAAAAATTAATAATGCTTTGGACGACAAAACTAGTCAAGTTTTCAATTGACTTCAAAAAGAAGATTCTTATTTGGGTTGTATTTTTTTTTTATGTTTGTTACTTCACAACTCCGTCAGTTATAAACCGATTTGGAAAATTGATTTTTTTTTTTATCTGAAAGGATATACTTACATATTAGTCTTATAGAAATTTTATTTAAATCGATACAGCAGGTGCATTTTTGGTTTTTAATGGATGAAAATGGAATGGTAACCCCGCCCGCGCTATCGGTATACACCGACGAGGTACCAGTGGAAGATGATAGGTGAGAATGAATGCAGGTCAGTTGGCCCACCATGATGAATTCGACAAGAATTAAACAAGATGGTTTCCAAGGGGAATCGCGTGGAGGTCGACCCGAGAGGGTATATTGCTAGTAATGGGGCTATTAGACCCCATTACTAACAATCCCTTTCTAGAGATTTTTAGTAATTTTCTTTGAACTAGGGTTGTCACGTGCGCGTTTTCGACTCTGAAGTAACCTTAATATATCATTTTTGAAATATATTAAAACAGCAATAATAACTATTTGACGAAACTATAAATACCATAATGTTAGTATTACTAGTCTTATAATGGGTTGGTACAATTTTACTATCAAAATATAATCAATGAATGATTATGGTAATGACGTAATGTACGATAGTGGCAATGCTAGTTGAAGCGAACAACATAATTAAGACATAACTCCATGGTGATAATAATGGTTATCATAATATGATGGGAACAGAACGCCTTGATTCACATTTTAAGATCTGTTATAATTTAAGATTGTGTTCCACAAAAAAAACCGACTTCATTTGTGGCACAATTATTTTGATTTCAAAACTTTCTCTGTAAGTTAAAAAAAAAGAATTTTATAAATTGATTTACAACTGACGGAGTTATGAAAAAAAATACAACAGAATTGAAAACCTCCTTCTTTTTTAACTAAGTTGAAAATCGTATATTTTCATGTTTTTTTTTTCCTTATTAAATTGGATTAGGAACTTCACCTATGCTATTGGTTCATGGTATTTTGAATGCTTATTTTTTTAATTATCTACTATTTGGGGTCCCTCAGTAAAAGTCATATCTTTTTTTATATACTTTCTTCTTTACACAGTTTTGAATGTTCGGTCAAACTTTCATTGCGCTAACTGTAGCGAGGTATGAACAATAATACCATTTCCACGTCACACAGTTTCAACACTGATAACGCGATCGACTCTGAACCGGCCAGTGCCGCGCCTCCGCCAGTACAACTGTTTGTTTACGCGCGTAAGCGCGCCTCGCGTAGTTTGAATTTCGAATTAGACTAACTTTATTTTAAGAAGCCAGTGTTTCGATTAATAAAAAAAGTTTTTAATCACCATTTACCATGGATAGTGACGGTAATTTTTTTTTATTAATATTTTTAATTTAATTTAATAAATTGATTTCCTTTATTTGATTGGTATGTGGCTTATAGATTTTTTATAGCGACTCGTCTTTGTAATTTAATGATCTATTAGTAAGATCAAGTTTTAATAATTTTTGAACCATTATTATTAATGAGTTTAGACTTGATTTGAGAAGTTATTTCGAAATAGTATGGAGTAGTTCCCGTTACTTATAATCCCTTCTCTCCCCTCCCCTAAATGGTTTAACGCGTTATGAAATTAACACCTACATAATCCACATTATCAATATAAAGAGATAATAACTAAAACCTTGGTTAGATTAAGGAAAATTTTTCTCAATAAATACAAAACTGGTTTTTTAAGTACCTGTGCAGTGAATCTTAAGAGTGCATCTTACATTTTAAGATTTTATTGTACACTAGGGATCCGGTGCGGCTTCGCACGAATAGATAGAATTTTTGAAAATAATATGTTAGCCTATGTTACTCGCTGATAATTTAGCTTTGTATAGATGAAAATATTTTTAAAATCACTTTTTTAAGTTTTAAAATGAGTGGTTTTTGAGTTTATCCATTACAAACAAACAAACAAATTTTTCTTCTTTATTACCCATAAATATTTATTCATAAAAACTAAAACCTACAAACCTGTTGGGTGATAATGCAATGGTAACCCTGCCTGTGCTAATAGTATGTGGTAGCGGGGTACACGTAAATTATGATAAGTGAGGATGAAAGCAGATCAGTTGGCCCATAGCGATGAATTCATAAAAAATAGTTAAGATAGTTCCCAGGGGGAACAGCGTGGAGGGTATATTGTTACCTGACAAAGTATAGTCTTGGCGTCATTACCAACAAACCCATTCTCCCCCTTGAGGAGGTTGGTCTGACATAGTATACTGCTATCGATGGCGTTACTAAACCCCATTACTGGACATTACCTTGCACACCAATTACAGGATATTGTTCCGCAAAGAAAAGCGACAGTTTCAATCGTCATATATTTTATAATCAACCTTTATATTTTTTTATACAACTTAGAATGGCAAACAAGCTGACGGCCCACCTGATGGAAAGTGGTAACTGTCGCCTATAGATATGAGCAGTACCATGGACTTAACAGAGTATACTGTTTCGCCCATGATACCCCCCATGCGTTGTCATTCCTAAGGACTCAGATGTTATTCCTTTGTACCCAGTAAATTCACGCCATATCCCACCCTTCAAATCGAAATACAGCCATGCAAATACAACTGCTTTACGGTTAAAACACGAATGGGACAGAGGCACCCAAGTAGAGATGGGCAATCCACCTGGGTGGGTTTAAAGTCTGGTGGGTAAAAACCGGGTGTTTTGGGTTTATTGGGTTTAAACCCCATAAACACCCAAATTTTTGGGTGTTTATGATTTTGTACTTCATCATCGTCATCTCAGCCGCAAGACGTCCACTATACTGGACATAGACAATATTATTATGCAGCCTACAGAATAAAAAACTTTTAATTTGATTTTGAGTTTATTAAGAAAGAGATGAAAGTAAAATGTAAAACTACAGTCAATCACTGTCAGATTCAGAGTTATTACAAGCGATGAATTGTATAGGTTCGATAGGCTCTATTTCGTCTAAACTGTTATGTTCATTTACTTGCTCAATGAAAGCTTCTAAGGTATTTTCTTCATTAAACTGAATGTCCTCGCATTCAGCTTTATGTTTAAGATTCCAGTTATAACAAATGAATGAAATTTTTTCAGTTCTTTCAGTTGTAAGTCGATTTCTTTTGTTATTATGTATGTAGCCTTGGATACTAAAGGAACGCTCAGTGGCTGCCGAAGTACAGGGAGCTGATAGAATACGAATCGCTACTTTGCTTAACTCAGTGGAACCACAAATACCTTTCCACCATATTAGGGGCTCAATGCTATCTAATGAGCTCCATACAAATCCTCTGGCCCAAAAGTTTTCTTTAGCTTTATAACACGCCAAATCTGCCATTACATTTGACAAACTTAAGTGTTGGCTTAAATTGTAGATAAACTCCATACCCTTAAGTTCTTCCTCTTGAGTAAGTTCGACTCCTAGAGTCCTGGGGTCTAGAATATATGCTGCAAAATGTATTGGCCTCATTGCCATATTGCATCTTGAAGATACTGATGTTAGAATCTGCTGTTTGCTTTCTTCGCTCAATGTCGAAATCTCATTTAATGCAAAACGTATCTTAGCTTGTACATCTCTAAATGTAATGTATGTGCGATGCAAACGATTCTGGTCGCTCTCTAAGTAAAATATGCTTTCAGTGACTGGTTCCAAAATACTTATACATTCCCCTGTCTTCGTCCAGAAATCATCACTTAGAATTAAATCTTTAATATCTCTTGAAATTACCACATCTTCTCTAACTGTTAATATTTGCAAAGCTATCTTATTTGCTTTCAAACTTTTTAACGAAGTAACATGACTTCCCCATCTTGTAGCACAAGGCAATTTTAGTGTTTGTGTAGAATCTTCACCCTGCCTTGATTTTATCAACAAGGAACTTAATCGTTGACTCCTTTTAACAGTTTTTATTATATTTATGGCTTGCATAATAAACACAGTTACTTCTTGTATCTTTACAATATCTTGGCACAACAAGTTAAGGATATGTGCACAGCAACCGAGAGGAACAACATGTGGATATTTGAGTTTTGTTAATTCGAATGCCTTTTGTATATTTCTAGCGTTATCGCCAATAAGTACAAGAAACTTATTTGCTCCATACACTTTCATTACTTTTTCAACTTCTTGGCTAAGGTATTCACTAGTGTGAGGATTACTTTCTGTATTCAAACTTTTAACGTATGCAGGTTGAGGTTTTGATATAAGAAAGTTTATTATTCCTTCATTTCTTAAATTAGACCAGCCATCGCACTGAAGGTGTAAGTAACTACAAGCATTTAGTTCCTCATTTAACTCAAAACGCATTTCTCTATATATTTTATCTAAGTATTTTGTCGCTAAAGCTTTACGTGAAGGTATTTTAAATTTTGGTTGCAATTTTTCGAAAAATTGTATCCATAAAGGATGTTGCACCATCGATAATGGCGTCCCTGTTACAAATATAGCTCTCGCTAATTCTGTTTTTATATGATCATCGGTGTCTTGAAACTCAGCATTTATTGTAGTGTTAGCAGACGACGAGGGGCTTATAAAAGAATCATTTGTCTCTATCTCTGACAGTCCAGACATTTTGGTTTTGGACGAGCTATCTTTTATAAGTTTCATAGAGTCTTTTAATGTTTCTGGAGATTTTGGACAAGTGATAAGATGTTGAAGCATTTTGGCAGCATTACTGAATTTGTAGACCTTATTACAAAGCTTGCAAGAAACAGACTTGTTTGGTAAAGTACGGTAGTGCTCCCATATGCGTAAATCTTTAGGTCTCCCCATTGAACCTAAAAAAATGAACGATGATTAGTTGGTCTGACGAAAATTCAACAATAGAGTGCCTATTTTTTTACAATGATTATTTCTTGTTATTTACAATAAATTTATTAAAAAAATAATAAAATAAATACAAAAAACCTTTGTAAAATTACATCTCCTCGGAGGATTAAACGCAGACGCTAGTTTATTATCGTATTGTTCTGTATTTTTCTCAGCAACTTCTTTAATTCGATTAGGTACTTACGCATATTATGTTAAAAATAAATATCTAGTACACATCTTAGGCTATCCACCATTATTATCCAATGACGACTCTCAGCTAACTATGCACTATCATCCAAAATAAACGTGTATGGAAAATTTTATCCCAGTCGGTTGAGGATTGAGGATAATTGCATCAACATACGAACATACCTACATACTTTTATTTACATAACGCAAGCTAAATAAAAGCTTGTAATAATACATCTAATTTTAAGTTAAAATTGTTAAGTGATCATGATATAATTGTATCATTCAAAAATCCACTTACCTTTAATTATTTCTTGTTAAGTATAAATATTATTTCAAATCTGCTCCCTTAATATGCACTTTTTTACTGCTTTTCCTACCTAACACGTTACCAGGAAGTCACGTTACCAGAGTCAGAGTAATAGTGAACACGTTTGACAGTGATTGTCGTCGCCTCATATTCAGCGTCGACGAATAGGGGAATCCCCAGTCATAATGTATTGCATGCGTGGCGGTCTTACTTCAAATCCATAAACAAAGAGATAATTACAGAACTCGATACTAGATGGCGCTGTTTTTGTTTGAAGAAAGTTTGCGGGCTAAAATACATAGAATTTCATCAATGACTTCCACAAAGAACAACATTTCTGTTTTTTCTAAGTCCGTATCTCTTCCGTATATTTCATAAGATATAAGCTTGGGCTACATTGTTATGCAACGTGATTTTGTCGCTGTCTTGCTAGCAGGGTTGACAGATATACGATTTAAATCGTACTCATACTATTATTTGTCTATTTTTTAATGTACGATCGTAAAGATTATGATCGTAATTCGCACAAAAACATACGACTTTTTGGTTACCTGGCAACATTTTTATTATGAAACGAACATGCTCACATCATCAGTCACATGCAACAATTTATTGGGGATTTCCCCTTCACATCTGGCAGTCCTGCTTGCTAGAATATAGGTAAGTCAGCCACAGTTACTGACGATCGATATTTAAAGGGTATTGTTTTTGTGCTAAATATTTCATAAAAACGTTATTTAATACTTTGTGGATTATTAATTTAGTTGATAATCACTGGAAGTAAAATGGATGCTAATTTGAGAGATCAAGATCTTCGTATAAAACAGTTAATAAAAGAAAATCTACGTAAGTACTCTTTTTATACCTAGGTAGGTAAGGTATAATAAACACAAAAGGTACTTAGATCGCGTGTGTTCGAAGCATTTATTCTAATAAATTTAATTTAAAATTGTAGAAAGAAAAAAATGTCTGCCAAGCCGTAGCCGAAGCCGATCTCCAAATATATTTGGCGATAGTGAGACCCAGTGTCCAGATGATTTACCCAGCGTCGTCGCAACAAAGAAAAAAACGAGGATAAAGTAAAAGAAAATTTACTGAAAGAAGAAACAAACTGTTCTAAATGCTTAATTTATGGAGAAGAGGATAAAAGAAATGAGTATTTCGGACTGTTAGTGGCTCAAGAATTTAAATATATACGGCCATGTGTGCGAACGAGGTGTTATGAAGAAATTTTAAAGTATCTACGGGAAGCAAAAGGCCAACATGTTGATCAACTGCAACATGAAAACACTGAAAATTAATTACTTTCATTTTATTATATATAGATTTTTAAAATTTCCTGAAATATTATTAGTTAACGTTTTATTTAATATTGTAGAATTGATCAATACAATTTATAAAAATAATTTATTGGTATTACTTACATATTTTCAAAAAAATACGTAAAAACCTATTTTTTTGGGTGATTATGGGAGTTTATGGGTGTTTATTGGGTTTTTACCAAAGCACCGGGTTTAAACCCGGTGCTTTGCCCATCTGTACACCCAAGCAATCGACTTTTGTACAAAGTCTACCTCTGGTAATATATAATATATATACGTTTTCTTCGGAATAAACCTTCAGAAACACTTCCTTATAAGGATCTAGTGATTTCAAGTTTACCCTGTATTCATAGATTATTAAACGTATAGCCGTATAGCATCACAACTTGGCTTATCTTTATTTTTTATAAATGTTTATACCTGCAGTAAATAGATAAAAACATAACTATGCTTTAATCTTTATAATAAGAATTAAAACAGTTAAATTTTCCACGTATACGACATGTAGTAAAACTTTATTATTTTACTTGGTACAATATAGATTAATCTCGATCAAATGTCACCAATGAGGATGTTTTAAGGAGAGACTTTTTTTTAATTCTTTTTTTTTTTATTTTAAATTCTTTTTTTAAATTTTGTAAATCCTGTATCCAGCAATGCACCTTTCCTCACTGTTCCTCCTAGAATTCATTGCGATGGATTTATTGGTGAATACGTCACGATGGGCCAACTGACCTGCTAATGACCCTCACCTATTGGGGGAAGGAATTGTTTGTAATACGGAGTCCCATTGTTAGCAATATACCCCGTCAGGTCGACCTTCACATGGTTCCCCTGGACACCATTGTGCTGAATTTCAGGTGTATTTATCACGATATGCTAACTGACCTGCCTTTTCATTTTCATCTATCATCCCTTACTGGAGCACAGCCAGCGTACATCGTTAACGCTGGCGGGGTTACTATTCCATTATCATTACTTTTTTTTATACAACTTAGAATGGCAAACAAGCTGACGGCCCACCTGATGGAATGTGGTGACCGTCGCCTATAGACATGAGCAGCGCCATGGACATAACAGAGTATACTGTTTCGCCCATGATACCCCCATGCGTTGCCATTCCTAAGGACTCCGGTGTTATTCCTCTGTACCCAGTAAATTCACTGCCATATCGCACCCTACAAACCGAAACACAGCCATGCTAACACAACTGCTTTACGGTTGAAACACGGATAGGACAGAGGTACCCAAACAACTTATGTACAAAGTCTCCGTCTGGTTACCTCTGGTTCCCTCACTTAAAATAAAAATTCTCATCTATAATCACTCACTGGTGCCCCACCAGTGTATATCGATAGCGCAGGCGGAGAGCGGAACAGAGGGGGGGGGGGAGACTTAATAGACCAATCTCGAAATGGATATGCCAAGATTCTTTAAATAATAAATTTTACTGTACTGGGCTGGTTTGAAGAGATCTCTTTCAGAGATAAGTCCACCGTTGGTCACAAAATATATAAATATAATACCTATGTATTTTATAAATGTAACAAGGAACAAGTATATTAAATAACTCAAGTATAAAAAACTAGATTGTAGGCACATTGTCTCGCAAATCAATGTCGTCTCAAGTACTCTAGTCAGCCCTATTTACGTACTCCCCCTTTTATGATTGCAAGTGATTTACCAGTTTGTGTCTATTGAGGACAATTTTCCTTAAAGGAACCAAGGTTTTTGTCATTATCTCAAGTTGATAATACGGTGTGCCGTGTCTACGACTTTGTATAATCTATAGATTATTCTTATTAATATTTTAAATGTGTGTTACATATGAATGAGTGTAATAATATATGTGTGTAGATATTATATATGGGTCGGCAGCACGCGCCTAACATCTCTGGTGTTACAGGCTACGGTAGGTCTGTACTAGGTACTGTCCATAGGCTACGGTAACCCCGTTTACCATCAGACTGGCCGTATGCTTGTTTGCTACCATAGTAGTATAGAATATATTTGTTTATTTATTTAAACTTGTGGTCGCCCCGTGGTCATAATTTGACCATAATATAATAATAATAATAAATGAATTATGGTTATGTTTGACATTCAGTAAGACTATAGACAAATAATATTAATCTATTTTCAATTTGACCACAGACTAACAATAAACAAAAGTGTATATATGCGTGTGTGTGTCAAATACAAGGTAGTGAGTGTAGTTTTTTTTATTGATTTAATTGATATGCATAAATAAAAAAAAAATGCAAAACTGTTCTCCTCTATATAAACTATAAGTATGCGAAATTTCATACTCCTCACACAAAGTACAAAGTTTTTGTTTCTGTTTTTGTTGTTGTGTTTTTGTTTGTGTATTAATAAAATATATAGATAACTTTATTGACCAAAAGAAGATATGGTACAAACGGCGGACTTAATGGCAGCAGCATTCTTTACCAGTCAACCTTTGAGTTGAACAGTGAATCACGAACGCGGTACTTCATTATTGGAATAGGTAAAGAAAATAACTAATAAACACCAGAGGGAGACTTTGTACAAACGTCGATTGCTTGGATACCTAGATAGATAGATAAACACTTTATTTGAGCCATTTAACACACGTAAATTAATGAATAAAATGATACAATTTGATTATTTACATTTTTTCAAATATAAAACAACATATAAAACATCCTCTGTCCCATTCGTGTTTCAACCGTGAAGCAGTTGTGTTTGCATGGCTGTGTTTCATTTTGAAGGGTGGGATATTGCGTGAATTTACAGGGTACAGAGGAATAACAGCTGAGTCCTCAGGAATGGCAACGCATGGGGGGTATCATGGGCGAAACAGTATACTCTGTTATGTCCATGGTACCGCTCATGTCTATAGGCGACGGTTACCACTTTCCATCAGGTGGGCCGTCAGCTTGTTTGCTATTCTAAGTTGTATATAAAATAGTATAATGATGTATATTTATATACAATTATTAATCTAATACATAGTATATATTTATTCCCATATATCGTCTTAACGGTTTAACCGATTACTATGAATTTTGGTATACACGTAGGTACTCTATGGCATGGAGAAAGAGATAAGCTACTTTTTATCCCGGTCAGTAAACGTAACCTAATCATTCAATTTGAAATGGTCACGTAAACGTGACCATTTCAAATTAAAAACTATAGAGATTTTTTTTTTTTTTTGGGGAAAATGGTGAGTTTTATAATTTCATAAGTAATTTATTAATGACAGAGTCAAAAAGTATATTCATATTACGATTAGGTATGCTCTTTGGGGTAAGTCATTCACGTTCACGATTAACCATCACTGAATTTCAGCACGTCACACCCTGACTGTCGCGCCTTGTAAAGATTTATTGTCTAGACGAGTTAGTTAGTAAATTACATAGTTAACATTATTTTCCACGAAAAAAAATAGACTCCAATTAAGACAAAACCAGTTATTTTTATTTAAAAATTACTAAACCTATTTTGATAAATAAGTATTTACATAAACATTATATCTCATAATGCTTATCGTTGTTTTAATTTATGTATATGTATGTATATATATGTATATATTTCATATGTATTAGTTTATCCATATATATTAAAAGTAATGTTTATGTATTATATGTGCATTTCTTATCTGTATATTATATTTATATTGTGTCTTACCTTAATGTGTTACTATAATTGTCACATATTTTTTCACCACATCTGCCCTTCATACGCTTTCTGTTTTTACCCAATGGTTAGCTGGTAGAGAATGCCATATGGCATTAAACTCGCCATTTGTACAAAATTTTATTGTGCAATAAAGAATAAATAAATAAATAAACCTTATTAACTCCCCACTAGATGGAGTGACGACCTGAAATGCATTGCATTGTCAGTGGATGCAAGTGGCTCAGGATCGTTTTTTATGGCAGTCTATGGGGGAGGCTTATGTCTAGTATTGGACGGATAATGGCTGAGATGATGTTGATGATGATGATGATACCTATTTTGATAAAATTTCTATCAGATTGTTCCAATATGTAAGTCATCTTTAATCTTTCAGTTAAATAAACTATTTTCTAAACTTTAAAAAAAAAATTACAACTGATTTAATTATGAGGTGACAAACATAAAAAAATACAAACGAATTGAGAACCTCTTATTTTTGAAGTTGGTTAAAAATATCCACATTATATTAACCGCTTTGTATTTACATTGTTATTTAACTACTTGGCAGTCGTGTAACCTTGTTGCAAATTATTTGTGCTGACACGTTCGTTTAGCATCAAATCGTCAAACAAAATGGCAGCCGGCGATACAATCGCTCAAGTCATCTTGTTGGCGTGCCATTAAAACATAATTTCAGATTATTCAGAATTCGACAAACACCTGACTGAAAGTGATGGCTATCGCCTATAAACATGGACAGTATTTTATTTTTTATTCAACTTAGAAGGGCAAACAAACTGACGGCCCACCTGATGGAAAGTGGTAACCGTCGCCTATAAACACGAGCAGTACCATGGACTTAACAGAGTATACTGTTCATGATACCCCCCGTGCCTCCAGTCAAACTGTTTATAATTACTCTTCTCCATCCAAAGGTTGCTTGAAAGAAATCGCTCTTAGCGAGAAGGCCGCCCATTGTTTTCTCAGTGTAATATTTTCTTGTAATTGTTTGTATTTATAATAAGTTTACTATTGTAACCTTAGGGAGGAAACAATAAAGAGTGGGGGAAAAGGGATTGTTAGTAATGGAGACTAAGAATCCCACTGCTAGCAATATATCCAACCAGGTCGACCTCCTCGCGGTTCCCCCTGGAAACTATCATGATTAATTCCTGATGAATTCATCATGATGGGCTAACTAGCCTGTTTTCATCCTCATCGATCACCCTTCACTGGTGCCCCGCCAGCGTATCCCATTAGCGCAGGCGGGGTTACCACTCCATTTTTATCCAATAAAAAAAAAAAAACAATAAAGAGTATCTATCTATCTATATTTTTAGTACTTTATGAAATTAGGTCATAATTAAAATAAATAGTGGAAGGAATTACTATGTATTGAGGATTGATTGATAACAAGTTGCTAATCACAGCTTATTCCACATGTATCTTATGACAGTTTACGTAACGTGCTATTAATAACTAGTAGATTATTGGTTCTGTGCAACTGACTCGTGTAGGGTTTACTTTCAAAGACTAGCAACATACTGTG